GGGGGGGCTGGCTTGCACATCTCAACACAATCGATTGAATACGAAACCATGGCTTAAAATGACAGCGAAGCAATGTTGATTAAAGATGGCGGCAATGCAGAAGAGGTTGTTTGATCACTCATACAGCTTTGCTGTTTTCCCGCATTTTCTCAGTGGCAGAATAATAAGAGGGATAATATTACAAAATTTGTGATGATAGCATCTAAGTGAGGTCAAGTTCATTACATGATTTTGTATTCTGCAGCCAAAATGGAGCTGGCAACTACCTGGGGACTGGAATTCGAATCGGAAACTGAAGAAAGTTGATCTAGAAGCTACTGATAAACGAAAGCGTCCTGCTGGCCAAGCGTGGACCATTCAAAGCAAGGATGCCAGACCTGCCACCCCAGGCCCTAGGAGGTAAACAAAGATTTAAACACTTGATTGATTCATCATTTTTGAAACAAAGTCAGTGTCTGCTTATAGCATAAAATCCCCCCCCCCCTCCATCCTTCTGTTGAAATGCTAGGTCTGCCCCAGTTTTAGTATATATATGGTAATCTCAGTGACAGACCAGTTGAATAGAAATATGGTCTCTCAAATTTATGTTAACATTTCTAGGCTGAGAAGGCCTATGACTGCTGCTAAAAAACGAACCCAAGATGAGATTGAGAAAGAACATGAAGAAAGACTTAAAAAGAAACAAGAATCTTTGCACCAGATTGCTGAGGAAATTAGGGCAAAAAATAAAAAAGCATCTTTGGTATGTATTGATTTGGTAATATTTCTTGACACAATACCCTTCATGACCTACATTAATTCATGGTTGACAAACTAGGAATTAAGTTTTGTAACTTTTTGTAACTTTTTGTAACTTAATAAACAGGTGTGGGTGGAGAAGTATTATCTGCTGTGACAACCCTGAGAATTTAAGGGACAGGCCCAAAAGATGAAAAAGAAGAAGAAGACAGATAGTCCTGTTTTTTTTATGTTTCAACTGCCTCGTCATTGAAGAGTACAAAGTACTGAAAAACACATATTACCCAGACCTTACATTCTGTTAGCATAGAGAATAAGTTTCCAAATTCCAGACACAGCTGTCAAATTTGAAAATTATTTTCAGGCATTCAAGGACAAAGCTGCCCAGCAACAAACGGACAAAATCAAGAGTGCTATGGTCACTGTTAATCAAAAGCAAGTACGCTTTGAAGAGCGCCAGCGTCAGCTCCTGGATGAAAAACGTCGCAAGCGTGCTAAAGAAGAAGAGAAAAGACAAAAGGTTACATATTTTTTTTATAATCGTGTTAATAAAGTATGTGTGCAACTTACGCTTATTATGCTTGTCCAGAACAGTTACTTTTTTTCAGGCTTTAATCTGCAGGCTGTTTTGATGATCGAAGACAACCAATATCTGATGTGAACCAAAGCATTTAATGATATATAACGTTTTAAAATCATTCTGTATATACTCTGTATGTGTGCATGTATGGTTGTGTGTGTGTGTGTGTGTGTGTGTGTGTGTGTGTGTGTGTTGTTTGCTCATGCATGACTGTGAATATGAGTCTTGCCTTTTCGATTTTTATCTGATAGCTCCTCTTGTTGTAAATGATGTGCTCTTTAAGTGTTTGCTAATATTTTGTAGGTCTTTGATAGAAAAGCAAAGTTGATTAGGCGGCCAGCTGAAGATGCAGCAAAAGTTGCTGAAAGCTCATCAGAGGAACTCCTTGGGGCTGTTGGAGGTCAATCACCAACCCCACCCCCAACCCCCAGGAGGGTGCTGCCTGCCAGACTCCCCAAATTAGAGCACACTCCATCACTGCCTCTCAAGCATGTTGGCACCAGTGAAAATGGTGTCCTGGAGACTCCTTGGGGTTCTGCCTCCTTGCCCAGCGAGGCTGCTATTGAGGATCATGGCATTCTGGAACAGCCAAGAGCTGCAGCTGGCAAAACAGCAGCCAGCAAGAAGAACAATAAAAGCAAGAGCAAGAAAGGCGAGAAAGCTTTGCCAAAGAAGAAGACCTGCAGCAACCTTGATTGCCCACACCACTATCCCAAGGCAAACAACACCAGTGTGACTAGTATGCCTGAAGTGGACACCACTGGCATCAGACAGAGAACACCTGTCACTGTGGCCAGTATGCCTGAAGTTGACATCACTGGCATCAGCAAGAGACCACCTGTCACTGTGACCAGTATGCCTGAAGTGGACACCACTGGCATCAGGCAGAGACCACCTGTCACTGTGACCAGTATGCCTGAAGTGGACACCACTGGCATTACCCAGAAACCACCTGTCACTGCTCAGACCAGCACTGAAATAGCCCCAGCTGTCAAAGCTTACTTGATCAAGGTGCGTAAGAGTGAGGTCCGTGTGGACAATGTTGGTCCCAAGATCATCCAAGTCCAGGAGAGTGAAGTGAAAGTGGATACAACCATAGGTAAGAAAGTTGTTGTTTAGTGGATCCATTGTGTGTACGTCATGTTGCTATTGATAAGAATGTTACACAGTTCATCATTTCATATGAGTGGAGTTTGCAACTCTGAATGGGTTTTGAAATTTTTTGTGTCCTTTATTCAGTTAGACAGTATCATATTGTTTCCTTTATCTAAAATTTATTCTAATCTGGCATGTGCCATTATTTAATATATTTATTCAGTTGGCTTTCTATATTTAGAAATGTTTTCATTAAGATAGTTTGATGAGATTCAAACCATTTCATTAGCATACAAATAGAACTATATCTACCTGAACACAAATAGATTTTATTTGTGGTTTTGCCTTTTTTTTTTGACATTTGAAGTAAAGGGACACCTTTGTATGTTTTTTCACCTCTTTTACCCCAGATAAAGCTGAAGAAGAGTTTGATACTTATTCCATCTCTCGTGCCTCCACCACTGGGAGCACTGGCAGTGCTGTCTGGGAGGTTGAGCCTTCTGAGAACCGCCGTGCTGAAAACATGACTCCAACAGAGGAAGAATTCTATGGATAAGAAAATATATAACATCAGTAGATATATGTGCAGACAAGTATAATTTATGTTTGGATAGCCATTTAAATTTTTTTTATATTTCCTTGGTTTTAATTTTTTCTTGGCACTGGTCAGTTCTCCCATTTTCAGTAGTGGACAAGGTTTTATAAAATTTCACCACAATTTAGGATCAGAAGCCATCAGTATTATTCAATAGTTTTTAATACTTTTCTTTTAGTTCATTAGGCAAATAGATACATTACAATAGGATGTGTTTTTTTAATCAAAATTCAGTTTAAATCTTTCATTTTTAAAAGTTATTAATTAAGTAAGATTTCAAAAATGCAATGATTAATGTTAAGTTGGTTCAAATAAATTTTTTCAGCTTTTCTTTTTTGAAATTCTTATTTTTATTTTCAGCATTTGATATATGGAGATTTTCAATTTTTTTGTTGATTACTCTAAAACATAGGTAAAGATAGGTTAGTTAAGTATAAGTTATATAAGATAAATGTGCTTTTTGTAGATAATTTAGCCATGTATAAATTAATTGCTTCCTTGTCCAACTTTTTATACTACTCTCCCCACCCCCTCCTTTTCTCCCCTAACATGCCAGCACTGGTTCAAATTGCCCCAACCATGTCATCTCCCCCCAATTTTTCTTCCCTACCACACCGCTTCTCCCTCAATTTCCCCGATAACTAAACCTTTCTATAACTTTTCCATTTTCTCCCCTGCCACGCCACCACCCCATTAATTTCCCCTATAACTCCAACTCTCCCTTACTTTTCCCCTTTCTCCCCTAACACACTACTATTCTCCCAATTTCCCCTATAAAACCATCCCAACCCCACTTCTTCCTTTGTTCCCCAACCACACCACCCTTCTCCCAATTTTCCCTACAACACCACCCCTCCCCAAAATATACTCTTTCTCGTGTTCCCAAAAAAACGTCGGACAGACGGACAAATCTGGCATAAATTGAAAATGTCCAACGTGTAATGTCAACATGTCAGTCGCAATGTCTGTACTATCAAATAGCAGAGCATTTAAAACAATAATTCCTGGCCCACTTGTCAGTGCTTTTTGCCACTGCATGACAAGCTCCAGCACGAAAAAGTAGGTCATGAATTGATACTTTTAAAATAACTTTTGCCCTAATGAGCATTTTTCAGCGTACTTGTGAAATTATGGGGTTTCATGGGTTTTCATGCACGTGCAATTATTCTACCAAAACATTATTATGAAACTGAGTTTTCAGAAGATATTTTCAATTTGACTGATATTTTTCTGAATTCCAAAACTCTTACATAGGTCTTGTCATAACTGGTATTGATATGAGTTCTGTTGGATTTTTTATTTTATTTTATTTTATTTTATTTTATTTTTTTATTTTATTTTATTTTTTTTTTGACCAGTGATTTGTAAGTCAGACCAGTAGATTTTAAGAAATTGGAGATTCAAATGGCCAGAAAGCTGAAAAGTTTATGTCACAGACTGTGACGTGCTGAAAAATAAGGCCACTATTTCACAGTGTACCTGATGTAGGCACTCTTTTGTGCTGCTGTTGTTATTGGACTTGTCTTTATAATTAAAACATGAAAAATGATATGCTTTTCAAATGTCTGACATGATCAGAAAATGTCTGACATTGAGATATGTTATGTCAGATATAGTGTCAAACTGGTGTCCAAAGTTTTTCGGGAACACTGCCTTTCCCCCCACTGCTCCACTTCTCCCCCAATGCCCCCAACAACTCCACCTCTCCCCAGCTCTTCCCCCTTCTCCCCTACCACACCACTTCTCCCTCAGTTTCCCCTTACACACTACCTCTACCCCACTATTCCCCTTTCTGCACTACTCTCCCCATCACCCCCTTTTCACCCCTACCTCACCACCACTCCCCCAGTCTCCCCTACCACACCACCCCTCCCCAACTCTTCCCTTTCTTCACCCACCCCCTTAACTTCCCCTACAATACCACCTTTCCCTTGATTTCCCCCATCAACTCCACTTTCCCCCACTCTCCCCTTTCCCCAACTCCCCCTTTCTCCCCACTGCACCACCTCTCCCCAACACCCCCTTTATTTGCACCTTTACCATACCACTTCTCTTCACCTTTTCCCATGTCTCCCCTCTTTCACTCACTGTACCACTTATCCCTCACTTTCCTCCCTTTTCCTCTCCTCTCCTCTCCCAACTTCCACTTCTTACCCTTACAGATCACCCTCCCTCCATCTTCCCCACACACCACCACCTTCCTAGTCTCCCCTTTCTTCCCAAACATCCCACCTCTTCCCTACTCTTCCCAAACCTCTTCTTCTTCTCCACCATATACCCTCAATCTCCCCTTCAAAGCCATTGCTCTCCCACTTTCCACATTCATCTTTCTCTCCCACATCAACACCAACACACCCTTAAACTCCTTTACCACACCCCTCCCCCACACTCCCCAAATTTCCCCTTCCCTAACCACACTACCCCTACCATACCACCTTCCCTTCATCTTCCCTCCATCGCCACCACATATCCTACTTCTCCCCTTTTCTTCCCAAGTATACCATGCGTCTCTTCTCTACTTTTTACAAATCTTCTCTTCTTCTCCACCATGCCCCCTCAGTCTCCCCAACAAAACCATCTCTCTCCCACTTCCTTAACTTTCTTTTTTTCTCCTCTACCACACCACTTTTCCCTCATTTCCCCCTACACCTCCACCTATCTCCAACTTTTTCTTGTTCTCTCCTTCCACACCACCATTCCCCCAAACTCCCCTGCCACACCACCTTTCCCCACCCTTGCCTTTCTTCATCTACCTCCCTTTAACTTTCCCTACAACACCACCTTTCCCTTAATTCCCCCACTCCCCTTTTCCCTAGTTCCCCTCTTTCCCAACTACATCATTCCTCCCCAACTCTCCCCTTTTCTCCCCTACAATGCCAACACTCCCTAAATTTCCCCTATAACACTTAATCATCTTCTCAACCCTGAAATTAATTTTTAAGGCCATCATCTCAAACAGTAAGTTTTTATTCCCATAACCCCCCTTATTTGACTTAGAGGATATATATAAACCCGTTTCATTAGGCAACAGCTGAAACTCTCTGATTGCTGAAATAAAATTACTTCCATGATCCCATGTGCCTCGCACATCTCCATGTATTTCACTACCCTTGAAATAAGGTATACCGGTATACCTGTTAACATGTGCCCAATTCACTGTAAATGCGACAACTCCAGCACTTCTTGCAATAAAAAAAATGTACTGCAGCATTTTACCAGGATGCAAACCAATCTACTACATGCTGACCCCACATTTTATCAGAAAAGTAAAAATAATTCTTGAGAAATACCCCAATCATCTAGCTACATCCACAATTCTACTTACAGTACAAAGTTACGGGGGCGGGTGATGGGGCACAAGTGGATTGTACGCAATCATGTGGATCATTACTATCAATAACACCGCTATAGGTATAGACATTAAAAGCAACATGATATTCTATCTACATTTTGCGCTAACGTTTGCGCTAGCAAATAAGCGAAATAGGCTTTCTTATCATTGAAAAATTGTCTGCCTAATTTCAGGACCGACAGGTTTTCTCCCTCCTCCCGCCTGTCGATATCGTTTATGTCTCAGTTCTACGTCCAGGGTTCCTTCCATTTGTTTAACATAGATTTCCAGGCATCTTGATATGAGTGACTTGGCCTTTCCAAATTCGGCATGCCTGTTGGGTAGAGAAGCCACGTGAGGAAAGAGCTCCCTTGCCGTCTTGGCAAGATACCCTTCTTTCGGTTTTTGATGACTAAATTTTCTTCGTTTAGCATCCCATTGAGATCCCAAAAGTTTTGCCTCTTCTTCATACTTTGTTTGTGTAACACAATTTAACCACACCAGTCTATATCCGCCTGTCTTCCTTCTAAATTACCACACCACCACTTCACTACTCCTTCCCAAATTCCCCCTTTCTTCCCCGCCATATGACCTTAGTCTCCCTATGAAATCACCTCCCTTTTCTCTCTCACCCACCATCTTTTATTTAAATCTCTCTGACCACAATACCCTCTCCCACTTCTGTTCTACACATCTCTCTCAATTTCCCCTAACACATACCTCTGAGGTGATCCTGGTGCTTCTTCCATAATATACATCCTGCAAGTGCACAGTAAATATCAAAGGTCCTAAATGTTTCTATAAAACATTTGGCAACCACTTGCATTCACAACAGATGATCCTCGGACTTACTAGTCTCCGGATCAAGTATGGCCAACACCACTTGAAAGCAATGTTGCATAATCCCTTAATGGTCTCCCTGCCTACCACATGCGCCGTCCCTGCAAGGGTCTAGCAATTAAAGCTAAATTAAAATGCCTACTCTGTGTTAGGAATGGGTACGTAGTAGTCCACTTTAGATGCGGTGGTTAGAGTACGTAGTAGTCCACTTTAGATGCGGTGGTTAGAGTAAGTTTGTAGTCCCCACAAATTCTAATTACTCCATTAGAGTTGGTCGTGGAAGGAGTTTAACCCCCGATTACTGAACTGATAGGAACCTTTGTGGACATGTCTGTGTTGTTCATTGACAGCATTTACAGTACCTAGGCCATTAATAAACAAGCGACTTTGTACCCTTAGGCTAGTGTCTTGTAATGCTCTACTGTACTTCAAAAGATCATCTTGAGTTAATTTAACTTCTCGAAATTTCTTTTCTCTCACCTTTGAATATAAGCACTTTTGAATAATCTGACTTTTAATCTCTTTGTTTTTATCAGTAAACTCACAATTACAGGTAAGTGTCTGCAATCTGGCATGAAAAGTGTCCAAATTTTCATCAGCTTCCCAAGTTGTTTGATGAAATAAAAATGTATTGCACTCCACATTCCTCCTGGCTAAGAAATAATCAGTGAATTTTTGTTTTGTTGCTGCGTAATCATAAGTATCCTGAGCATCTAGGAAAATACTCAGCTCAAATACTTCCTTGCCTGCAAGGTGTTATAATAATGCCTTCTTCTGAGTATCCAGTGTC